TCAGTTCCTGTGTTGATGTGCAACAGCGACGGTCTAATTAACAGGAAATTGAAATGAAACTAAAGAACTAAATGTTATTTGGAGCGTGCTGATGTGCCCCAAATAGCTTTTTTCTTTTTGTGTGTGTGTGTGTGTGTGTGTGTGTGTGTGTGTGTGTGTGTGTGTGTGTGTGTGTAGCAGTAAGTGACGATGTGTTTACTCTGCCACAGCTCAGAGTCCTGTCCTGGACCCCCTGCAGCAAGCTTATACAGGCATGCAGCACTATACAGGTGAGCCTCGAACTGTGTCAGATGTGTCCTATATAATGCCATAAACTGTGACATAAAGTGACATTTATTTGTAGAAATGTGTTCCTATGTACTAGTCTTATTGCTGCTACTGAAAAGTATGTGCATATACTATTTTTTGTAGGAAAAAGGTCTTTTTTGTTACATTTTATATAAAACTTGACCATTGGACCTCAGGTTTTTTTTGTCTTAGTTCCTTGAAATAACCTTTTAGTTCCTGCAACTAGAATTTAAAACAGTTTTATGTAACATAATGGAATGCAGTTACATTACCTTTGCACTCCCAGACTACCCAACACTGCATGTGTAAAGCAGAAAGAAGTCAAAACATGCACATATATTACAAACGTAAATAACCTGCAGTTCTATAGAATGAGTCATGCATCGCAAAATATATGCAAAACATCTCACAGTTTTAGAAAATCTGTAGGTGGAAAATGCAGCTCCGTCAGATGTTGTTTTGAAGAAAAAACTGTTTAGTTTGCAGTCTCTGCCTTCCTCACTGCTGCTCTCTGCTCACCTGCTCCTCCTCTCCATCAGCCACCTACCCTGCTGCCTACAGCCTGGTGGGACAACCATTCCCTCACCAGCCCACGCTGGTGGCTCAGCAGCCGCAGCAGCCGCAGCAGCTGCAACAGCGAGAAGGTAAACTCAGAGAGCTGCGCGCAAATATGGGTTAATCTTATCTTAGAGAAACATTCCAGTGGTTTTGTATGTTTTAGCCCATTTACCACAAATCACACATACTTTACATCACAGATTACCACTTTGTAAACAGTGCTGCTGCGTTTTAAAAAGTTCTAGGTATCAGTTTTTATTCATTTCAGGGTGTTATGATGTGAGTTAGCAGACTTTGAGCTTTTTGAAGTTTAAATGAATCTTTGTAAAAACAAGTATTTTTTGATTCTTTTATTATTGTTTAGTCAATAAAATGTCTGAAAATGATTAAACAATGTCCATCACAATTTCCCAAACCCCAAGGTCTTCAAATCTCTTTGTATCTCATTTTGTCCAAAAGCCCAAAGATATTCGCTTTACAATCATAAAACTGGGGAAAACAGGAAATACTCACACAGAAGAAGCTGGAACGAAAGAATATTTAGGTTTTTTGCTTGAAATATTACTTGAATTATTAGCATTGTTTCAGATTAATTTCCTGTGGATTGACTAATCAATTAATTGACTAATCATAGTCCTTTAAGTCACGTATAGGATCGAGTCTGTGACGTTATTGAGCCTCCACTATGGCCCTGATGTTTCAACATCATAATAATATGAAATGAAACTATTTTTCCTTAAAAGATCGTTGTGCTAAACCCAAATGTGGAGTAGGAGGTGAAGATGGGAAATGGGAAAAACAGCTAGCTTGGCTCTGTCCAAAGGTAACAACATCTGTTTGCCAGCACCTCTAAAGCTCACTAATTACCACTGGTTGGCAGATTTTGTTACTTTTGGACTGTGCCAGGATATCTGTTTCCTCTGGTTTTACATTTTTATGCTAAGCTAAGCTCACCAGCTGCTGGCTGCAGATTCATTTTCACTTCACAGACACGAGAGTGGTATCAATCAGACTTTCCAAAATTCCCTTTAAAATGCGTTTAATATTAAATTTTATGTCCTGCTCTATTCTGCTATTCTGCACTTGTCTCTTTCTTATTTTAGTTTCTTTTTTACTTCCCTGACTTGTCAAGTAAAAGCACCCCTGAGTATTCAGAAAGCCCTCTACAGATAAAATGTGCTATAATTGCTGCACAAGATGTTACTTGCACTAACTGAACTATGACTATTTCTGAATGTTTCTTGCAGTTTTCACCGATCGTAACCTTGTCATGTCACGTCTGTGTCGTCGTGGCTCTCCTCTATTTGTGTACAGGTCCCGAGGGCTGTAACATCTTCATCTACCACCTGCCGCAAGAGTTCACCGACTCTGAGATACTGCAGATGTTCCTGCCCTTCGGAAACGTCATCTCTGCAAAGGTCTTTGTGGACCGCGCCACCAACCAGAGTAAATGCTTCGGTGAGTCACTGTGATGATAACGTGTAAGATTGTTGCCTTGTGGTTTTTACAGTCTTTCTTCCTTCCTTTCACCTTTTTCTCCTTATAAATTACACTGCTGTTGCCACGCCATGTTTTGATTCTTTCATTCTGTCCACTTCCTCCTCAGGTTTTGTGAGTTTTGACAACCCATCCAGCGCCCAGACTGCCATCCAGGCCATGAACGGCTTCCAGATCGGCATGAAGAGACTGAAGGTGCAGCTGAAGAGGCCCAAGGATGCCAACAGGCCTTACTAAAGGAGGTGAGTTATCGTATATTGACATATTTGAAGAGACGGGAAGGGGCTCTGGGAGGGATTGATAGACAGCTGGTTATGTGTCTGGAAGTTAAAGAGACAGAGTGGATGTAATTGGGGGCTCAGTGCTTAAATGGCTGTCTTTCATGTGGAACTGAAGAAGTCAATAACCCTACAGTAGATTAACTTTAATGAGGTGGCAGCACTCTGAAAATACCATCAATTTGAAATAGATTGTGTAAAAGTAGCTCCTTCTTTTTTTTTGCTCATTATGTAGGGGCAGTTTAATTGAGAAGTAGATTTTTACTCGGTTCAAATGTTCTGTCTAACCAGTGTTCTGTCGCAGGGTTGAATGCCAACTACTGTTCGTCATTAATTTTTTGTTTTACTTTTCATTTATTGTTTTTGTGCTGTGCCATATGCCATTTTTCCTGAAAAAAACATCACACCACTCTCAAGACTGTCCCGTCCATACATATATCGTGGAGACGTGCGTCGCTATGGCTACGGTTGCCTAGCAACCGCTAAAACCTCCCCCCCTTCCTTCTCACTGCGTTGTAAGTTAATTGGCCTGTGTTGGTTGCTGTGGCGATATTGCCTGTGATGGTTGCCATTAGCAATTTTTATTTTGGGCCGTTGCCTTGATTCACCATGCTCAACTGCATGGCGGGTTACTGTGGCGACCATGAACTGTGTTTGGTGCGTTGTGAGTTTCCTCTTATTATTTTGTCCTGGTTTTAATCCTTGCAAACACTGATCAATAACTGTCACTTTACCTCAGCATCTGTAAGTAATTGATTATCATGACATGCTGTTTTTTTTTTTTTTTTAAGTCCTCTAAAAGCTTCAATGCTAAGAGCTAAATTAGCCTGCTGTCCATCAAATATGGATATATTAGGATTTTTTCCTTTTAGACGTTTTGGTTTTTGATTAGTTTCTTTTTTGTTGTCTGTCATGATTATCATTCTTACATATTCCCTCTGTTTAGTTGGTTGGTGTGGTAGTTTTCGGTGAGTGCGGGGTTTTTTGTTTGGTTGTAACTCGATTCCAAGTGACTTTGTGCCTGAACTTCGTTTGGTTTTTGTGAGACTGAACATGTATTGAACGTGCCTCCCCCCCTGTAAATGGTTGACAACATGGTATTGTGTGTATGAATGACTGTGAGAGTGTGAGACTGCCAGAAGGTCGCGTGCATTTATATATTTGTGTGAGTGTTTTTCTGTATTGATTAGATGTGAAAAGAAATGTCCATGTGTAAGTGAATGTGTGTGTGTTGTTGTACCAACTGAGACACTAACCTTACTTTAGAAGGTTTTGGGTAAAGCTGTTTGGTTCCTGTGACACGTGCTGCTGGCTGAGGAACTGCATTCCTCTGTAGGAATTCTGGGACTCAAAAAAATACTTACAAAATATTAATATTATTCAAATAATATCTCCACTTTACATTTATAATAACAATAACATAATGTGTCTTATGCACAGGGTATCTGCTGGCCACTGACCAAGTTGAAAAGAAATTTATTTCAAAATGAAGTCTGAGATTAAATGTTTTTTAATGAAAATGTAACATTTTAAGATGTTTCTGGTTCGGAAAAAAGCAGGAAATACACACAGTCTGAATCTATTTCAACCTCTAAAAAAGATCTTAACCTTTGCTACAACAAATTTAATTTAATTTTACAATAACTCCTTAACATACAGTTGGAAATGAGTGGGTTTCAACAAAGTTTGACAGTTTGTAACGACTGCTTGTTAAGGGGTTTTTAATATAGTGTATTATATATGTATATATATATATATATATATTATATATATATATATATATATATATATATATATATATATATATATATATAGGGGCCAGAAGATTCACATGTACTGCTCTGATGCACTGTTGGTCTTAAATTAAACATCAAAGATCTTTAAAAAGTCATAAACAGATTATTCTGGTACCTGTAGATGCCCTGTTAGCAGGAAACCACATAACAAATAAATCGTTTGGTGGATACTTTTGAAATCCAAACCTGAGAAAAAAACATGGTTTTCAATACTATCAGAATAAATGTAAAATTATTAAAATAAATTAAAATACTGGAGAGTTTACCACCAACCAGAATTCCTACTGTGCATGTTCTGAATTGATTTGCCTGCCAAAAGAGATGACAAAATATTTTCTAAGAACGTGCATACACTTGCAGCAGTATGACTGTCACTATTTGAGTTGCATGGACACTAGTTGATTACTGAAACTCCCCTGAGGCATTAGTGCAAGCAGTGTGTATTGCAGACACCACTCCACTTCCAAAGTCTTAAATGTGCCTGTTTTAACAGCTGTGATTTTGTTTAAAAACGCTTTGTGTTTTTTTTTCTTTTCTTTTTTCTCCCCCTCTCTCTCCTCTTCTTCTTTACCTCCAGGAAAACCTAAGAGTTCAATCAAGAAAACCACTTGGGATGTCCCAGCCTTTTTTGGTTGTTTGACCAACCGTATAGCACAGGAGCAACACTTCACTAAAAAGCAGTATCACGTGTATGCGCTTACAAAAACAACAACAACAACAACAACAACAACAACAACAACAACAGCAGTTATATCAGCAAAATACATCAACAGAATCAGCATCCGCAATATCGGAAGTGCTCCAGATTTCCTATCATTCCACAGCTGGATTCATTTATATTATGTACATACTCTATTGTCGGCAACAAGCTCTACATGTTAAGAAAAAGCATATCACTGATGTTATTCTACTGAACAGGGTTCTAATGTATAGTGTGATTTGTGGCGTTAACGGAAGGCCAGTCTGCACAGTCGGAGGCAAAAGAAAATACTATTCTGTATGATTACCATTGGTAATATTGTTATGTAGAGTTAGTTTTATTATTTATACGTAAATTAAAAAACATGGGGTAATTAACTGGAAGAGAAATGGATTTCCTCTCACTGTACATACCTTGGTTTTAAAAATGGAGTTAAAGGACTTCACGAGTTAAAGATTCTCTGCTGCCACTACTTTTCAAATTAACAAAGCGGAAGGAAAGGGCTGGGAATTTTTCTATCTTGATTTTTTACGTTTAATTTATTTGGTAATCAATTTGATGATGGGGTGGGGGTGGGGGGAGATGTGACAATTTCTTTTTTAATTTAAGAAGAAGAGAAGAAAAAAAAAGAGGATTCCTGTGGTCTTCAAGACAATGAACACACTTATTATAGAGTTTTTAATTACATAAATGTAACTATGGAAGTAAAAAAAAAACAACATAATGTTTCTTTATTTATTCTCTACAATCGCTGTTTTAAAACATATGTCTTTAAAAGAAAATAAAGTACAATTTAGAAAAAAAAAATGTGGATGTGTGTCTGCTCAATGTGTGACAAATCAAATGACACTTATTTTATTAAACAGACAGCAGAAGAGATGACGTTGGCCTCAGTGTTTGGGTGTTGTTTGATCATACTTGAGCTGTCCAGGGGAGTTTGCTGCTCTCTATAGGCCTGAAGAAGTATTGAGCAAAGTATAAAACATCTGGCCTCCAGTCTTGGTTGCATTTGAAACCTGTGGAATAAACTCACCAAGATTTACATGAAGGAAATGACAGAAATTACATTTAGTGTTTTTATTCGAGCTGCTTGAAATGAATTGTGATTAGTGAGTGGAGTATAATTTACAAACCTGTAGATAATGGGCATTATAACAGCACATAATTGTGTTTTGTCATCGATAATCTCACTCAGCACGATCCCGCCACCATTTACTGACGACACTACAATATGCAGCTCAGATATGAAGCGGATGGAAAAAGGCTGAGGTGTGTAACCACAGCTGGGGAGTGCAATAAGTCTGCCTACCACAGAATTCTGGGTTTGGCCTGATGTGCCCAAACACGCCTTGGCCCTCTTAGGTATGCCTGAGAGTATGAGGGGTGATTAATGCCACATAGCGATGTCAAAAAGAGAAGCAGAGTTAGCGTCTGCACAAGACTGCACCTTGAGAATCTATGATTATAATGCATTGGGAAATCTTATCCAATGCATAACTATGTAAAAGTAAGGAATCAGTGTGCAAGTCATATATTTAAAGACACTTTTCACTATTAGTTTGGATAGTCCAGGTGAGCAACAAGAACACTGTAACTATACACAACAATCAGAGCCAACTGGTTAAGTGAAAGGAGGAACAGTTGGATTATATTGTTATCTAATCATAATGCACTACATTTCATCAGCATGATCCGTCACGTTGCAAGTCAACCTTTGTGGCATCTTAACAATGTCAGTGAGAGCCTTCCAAGTCCACTTGCGCCTATATTTTAAAAGTGCCCTGAGGAAAGATAATTAGACCTCGCTCAACTCAGGTCCTAGTTATTACCACCAGTGTCTGTCTGAACATGCTCTGGAAGAGGCCGTAGGGCCACAGTTGAACCAGCCTGTAGTTATTTCAGCAGTGACATTGAGGTTAAAAGATAAGCAACTATATTAATTGATAAATGGACTGAAGGCATTTGGGAGTTTTCTATGTTCATTTCTGAAAACATGAAAGAATATTTGCAACATTTTAACACTATACACACTACACTATATAAGTGTTCCGATCTTTTAATCACTTTGTAAAAGTACTCTGTATAAGTAAAGGTCATGCATTAAAAAACTGACTTAAAGAACTAGTATTAACAACAAAAGGCACTTTGTCATTGTAATGCTACAACCAAATGCTCGCAGGTTCGAGCCCTGAACTGGCTCCAGAAAGATGTCTGATTGTATTCAACCTGATGATAAAATGACTCTACTTTTCACTTGATTTCCTGACACATTTATGGTCTCAATCACTAGTTTTATGTCGTCTTCACCTTCAAAACCAATGGGCGACGTCACATTGAGTTTACACTTGGTGCTGACTTGTGTCCGGTGGTGTAGTGGTGCCTGGAGGAGTTGGAATACACTGTTGTATATCTACCTCACCCACAAAATGGCCCTGTAATATTTGCATATTGTCACTTAACTTGTGCTGCCTGACTTCAGGGAGTAAGGATGATTATGAAATGAACATTAGTCACAGAGGAGGTGAGATAACTACAAAATTCTTTATTTCTTACAACATCCAGTCATGAAAGTCGGTCAGCTCTGTCAGGCCTTCGCTAATGTTGAGATCCTTAAAAGATTGCAAGTATTACAGAAATTACAAAGTATTACATTTAGACATTTTATCCAATGCATAACCATGGAAAAGTAAGGAATCAGCATGTGCAAGTCATATATTTAAAGACACTTTTCACTATTACTTTGGAGTTTGGTCCAGGTGAGGAACAAGAAGGCAGAAAACTGTCCTGCGGTTTTAGCAACAGTGTCTGTCTGAACATGCTCCTAAAGAGGCCCCTAGGGCCACAGTTGATCCTATCAAGGTAAAAAGAACAAAACAAAACCACAGAGTTTAAGAAAAAAATAGCTCAACAATAAGTTTCACTTATTTTGGTTAATTTTGATTAATTATATCATTCTACAGTTATTTCAGCTGTGACATTGAGGTAAATGAAATGTTCAGATCTTTTAATTAAGTATAAGTAAAGGTCATGCATTAAAAATTTTACTTAAAGTTCTAGTATTGGCAACAAAAAGCACTTTTAGCTCATTTGAATTAGCATACTTTACTGTAAACTTTAATATTTTGCAGCGGTGGAGAAGAACTCAGATCTTTTACCTCAATAAGAGTAGCAATACCACAGTGTACAAAATAATTGCTCACATTTATACACTGTGAGCAAAAGGCTCAAAAAGAAGTCTGATTGTATTCAACCTGATGACAAAATAACCCTACTTCTCACTTTATTTCTTGACACATTTATGGTCTTAGTCGCTATTTTTAAATCGTCTTCTCCTTCACAACAATGGTCAACAAACCAATGACTAAACCCCCTTGTGTTATGAACAGTGACATGTGAGACTACTATTTACCTCACCCCAAAAAATAGATTTCTTGCGAAAGGTATACAATAAACGTCCTGAAATAACTGTGTAGAAATAACCACCTTGATGCAGTGATACATGCCCCCACATGACTTTGGTGTTTCTGAAACTGAAAATATTCTTGTTAAAAAGGATAAAAAATGCCATGAGTTAGAGACATTTTTTGTTACAGTGGCTCAAATTACAATATTTAACACAGCATATATATAGAATAGAAAACATAAATATAATAAAAGCCTAAGTAAGTGTACATTATAATACAATATACACCAATATAGAAGTGTGACGACTAATAGTAGTGAGTACTGATAATGTTAAAGCTGAAATCCTTTAGTATAACACAGAGTTTTGCACATTAACCAGAGATGTTATGCTGTTTTTATGGTTTAGGGCTGAATTAGGGGTACCGGCCACCTTTTAAGGTCCAATCCAAAGCACCGTGTATCCACCCTGCAGTTACACCACTCCCCCCTGTCAGCACTGCCTCCTGCGGCACTAACCACCCCTCATACAGCGTACAGGATCGGGTCACTTTAAATAGCCTCCTCCCCGCCCTCCGCTCGGTCCACTTTTAACATACTACCATAATATCCTCTACATCCAACCAATTGAACTACCAGGGAGAGCGGCAACAAGCCGAGGCCCATTTAGATCCCCGTTGATCATACCAAGGGGGGGGGACAGAAAACAAAAAGTGACAAACTGAATATAATTGTTCCTGTTTGGACCAGCCACAAGGGAGAGTTTTCAGAAGAAAGTGCGACACAGTTTTTTTTTATTTTTTTTATTTATTTTTCTTCCTCCTCTCTTCTTTTTCCGGAGAATGTGGCAAACCTGAGATTAGAGAGAAGAAGGGAGGGAGAAAAGAAAAAGAAGAAAGAAAAAAGAGGCGGATTTGCAGCGATCAACAAGTTGTATTTGATGGCGAGAACTACATGAAATCCCCCCTCCTCCTCCTCCTCCGCTGCCACAGGAACAGAGGAAGAGCAAAGCAGCCCAACCGCCGTACATTTTGAGACTGACATTAAACCTGCCGACGGTGACGTGAAGAGTGAGGTAAGTTGGGACTGCACCGTTACATGATGGACGACGCTTTCGTTGTCGGTTAAAATATCGTTAAAAATAAATAAATTAATAAATAATCACAAGACTTATCATCAGGCACACGTTGGGCTGCTATTTTTAGACAGAAATCCGAGAGTCATCCTCCCGGGAGGATTTAAGAGAAGTTTTATTTTAACCGAGGCGGCGGTTGGTGGTGGTGGTTGATGGCGGTTGAAGGAGGGTGGGGGGGGTTACACTCTTCAAACTTTTGCTGACACGCTTTTAACGGAAAGCGCTCGCGGATTCAGCCGTTAGGGAGGAGAGGGGAGAGGGGAGAGGGGAGAGGGGGGGATGAAAAAGTTTAGCGAGCTAACAGGCCTTTGCTTGCCCTGATGTCGGTGGTGTTTGTTTAAGAACACCGCGATAAGAGAGAAGGTCGTCAAACCATTCATGTCCAACACAACAAAGCGTGACGGCAGCCGCAGAGGGATTAATGGAGGTTGTTTCCTAAACTATAAACGGCCATTTATACACACATTATCTTTCCTAACGGCACAAAATTATAAATGCGTAAAAGTTTTCTAGCGTAAACTGGAGATGTCGCCCGAGCTGAAAGTTTTAGCGCCTGCGCTGTCTCCTTTCTAACTGCTGATTCAAGAATAAGAAGTGTACGTGGTGCACTCACTTTCTCTGTGTGTAAAGAGTGTGAGCTGGTTTTAGTGTTTTTGAGATGTGTGGGGGGGAAACTTGTTTAAATCTCCATCTCAGTGAGCCGAGCTGTCTGTTCCGCTATGTCCGGGAGACTCCCCGCTTGCGCCATGCACTCTGCCACTCCCTGCACAAGTTTACGCAAACAGCGTAGAGATCTGTGACAGACACTAGCTGATAGTCTCCAGCTTGTGTGACATGAAGAGGTTATTTTGCGTCCTGTAAGCAGTTTTAATCTTCTTTACTCACCTCGACTTTAGAAATTGGGCTCCAGGTACTTACTAACTTGCAAATCCATGCAAACTGTACAGGTCTTCATTCATTTACTTAACACAGCAGCCACATTGTCTCTCTTTTAATATTTGTATATACTGTCTCTGTTTCTAGCTTTATTCATATTTTTGGTCTGTACAGCATCTGACAGCCTCTGGCCTTCAAGGTTGTAAGTAAGAAAAAAACTTCCCCCTTTTGAAAAGGGTTTTCTGCACATTTTTACACAAAGTTCAGTTAAAGATGAAATAAAAACTGACTTTTTAACTATTTTAGATCACACCACCCCCCCAACCATATTGTGCACGTATTTAACAGTGCAGGCCAAAAAAAGAGACTAAAATGTCTTTTTATTCTTCGTAAAACAGTAGATGACGTGCTTACGTGAGCCTGAACCAACCTTTTTCAACCAATAGTATTATGACATCCGCCTATCAAT